CTCGGGTACGATGATGGGCGGGGAGTTGGGGGCCACGTTGGTATCTCCTTGGGCAGCCCAGGTTTTCATCCCAGCTGCAGCTCTCATTGGGATGGCGTTTGCCATACTGCAATGGTCCGTGGTCGCGAAAATTCCGGTGCGATCGGCCGCGGCCGGTGATGACTATTTAATGGCGGATGAGGGKGGGCTCGAGGATGCCAGCGTGATTGCGAAGGTGGCGGACATTCAGGAGGCGATCTCCCTTGGAGCAGTGTCGTTCTTGACGACGGAGTACTGGTACTTGACCATCTTCATGACGCTGTTTACTATTATCATCTTCGTCTTCCTTGGATCCGTCGACGGGTTCGGGAGGGAGTGGAAACCTTGCGATGCAAAGGTTCCCACTGGGAAGATGTGTGCGCCAGGCACTGCCGTCGCATTCTTCAGCGCCGTGGCCTTCGCTCTCGGTGCACTGACTTCCACCCTGTCGGGCTTCCTGGGCATGAAGATCGCAACTTACGCGAATGCCAGGACGGCCCTGCAGGCTAGGAAGGGCATTGGCGCGGCCTTCGCGGCTGCCTTCAGATCTGGCGCTGTGATGGGCTTCCTGCTGACGGCGAACGGCCTGTTGGTGCTGTTCCTGGCGATTCTTGGGTTCAAAAAGTACTTCGGCGACGACTGGGTTGGACTGTACGAGTCGATCGCGGGATACGGGCTTGGCGGATCGTCCGTTGCTCTGTTTGGCCGTGTGGGAGGCGGCATTTACACGAAGGCGGCTGACGTCGGGGCTGATCTCGTCGGCAAAGTGGAGCGCAACATTCCCGAAGACGATCCCAGGAACCCTGCCGTGATTGCCGATAACGTGGGTGACAACGTGGGCGACATTGCAGGCATGGGGGCTGATTTGTTTGGGTCTTTCGCAGAGTCCACGTGCGCGGCGTTGGTCATCTCCTCTCTGTCCTCCATGGGCACGGACTTGGATTTCACGGCCATGAGCTTTCCTCTGCTKATCACGGCTTCGGGCATCATTGTCTGCCTCTTGACAACCCTCGTGGCCACCGACATTCAGGTCGTTGAAAACATCAAGGAGATTGAGCCGAGCCTGAAGAGGCAGCTTCTCATCTCCTCGGTGCTGATGACGCCCACGATCTTTGCGGTGTCTTATCTGTGCCTTCCTGCGCAGTTCAGCATCATCGTTGCCGGGCACGAGGACAAGGTGGTGAAGAACTGGTACATGTTCTTCTGCGTGGCGGCCGGTTTGTGGGCGGGACTGATCATCGGGTACATCACGGAGTACTTCACCAGCCACCAGTACTCGCCAGTGCGCGACGTGGCGGATGCGTGCAGGACGGGAGCTGCAACCAACATCATCTTCGGTCTGGCTCTGGGTTACAAGTCTGTGATCATCCCTGTGTTTGCCATCGCCGGCGCCGTCTACCTCTCCTACAGCCTGGCGGCCATGTACGGCATTGCGTGCGCAGCACTTGGAATGCTCAGCACTCTGTCCACCTGCCTCGCCATCGACGCCTACGGCCCCATCAGCGACAATGCCGGTGGGATCGCCGAGATGGCAGAGATGGGTCCAGCCATCCGTGAGAAGACGGACGCGCTGGATTCGGCTGGGAACACGACTGCTGCTATCGGCAAGGGCTTTGCGATCGGGTCGGCTGCGCTGGTGTCGCTCGCTCTGTTTGGCGCCTACGTGAATCGCGCCGGCATCTCGGAGGTGAACGTGATCGCACCGAGGGAGTTCGTGGGTCTGCTCGTGGGGGCGATGCTGCCGTACTGGTTCTCGGCGATGACGATGAAGAGTGTGGGCAAGGCGGCTCTGGCCATGGTGGAGGAAGTGAGGCGGCAGTTCAACACCATTGCGGGCCTGMTGGAGGGAACGGTGAAGCCGGACTACAAGAAGTGCGTGATGATCTCCACGGACGCGTCGCTCAGGGAGATGATCGCTCCAGGCTGCTTGGTGATGCTCACACCCATCATTGCGGGTTACCTGTTCGGCGTGTACACGCTAGCAGGTGTTCTTGCGGGCGCCCTGGTTTCCGGAGTGCAGATGGCCATCTCCGCCTCCAACACCGGCGGAGCGTGGGACAACGCGAAGAAGTTCATCGAGGCAGGCAACACGGAGCAGTCACGCGCGCTCGGGCCGAAGGGCTCCGCATGCCACAAGGCAGCCGTCATCGGAGACACCGTGGGCGATCCCCTCAAGGACACGTCGGGCCCATCTCTCAACATCCTCATCAAGCTCATGGCAGTCGAGTCTCTTGTCTTCGCACCATTCTTTAAGGAGCATGGCGGCATTCTTTTCGGTGGCAACAGTTAGAGCGGTGTTAATCACCCTGGAGATTTTTGCTGTTTTGGAGCGTGTCTGCTTTTAGCGATTTCGGGCTAGGGCACGGAATCGGCCAGGCAATCAAAATACTCTCTTTCCCCGACTTCCTGCCCCCTGGTTACATTGTAATCGCTGGCGACGTAACGAAGTTTGGAGGTTGTTAACGTCCTCAACGACGCTCCAATATAGTCGGTGCAGGGAAAGGAATGGCTTTTTTCTCCCCCGATTTTGAGGAGATACTAGCGGGCCCAGGTGGAAGGAAATCTGTTAGCTAACTACAAGTTTGTGGCATTTTCATTCGTTGACTCACTCGTGCTATTTGTAGAGTCTCTCTCTATCTCACGGAATAGTGCTTCCTTTGAAATGTCGTGGTCTGCGTTTATTGATTAGTTCCTTGATCGCTTGCCGTAAGAGGAAGAGCGCATATGGAGAATTGCACGCTCGGGGAAAAAGTACTTGTGTAATAAATACTTCGGATGGTT